TGTGTCGCACAATCTCTCGGACCCCAACCAGGGAGTCGTGAAGGACCAACACAAGCCAGCCCTTTGCAGCTTTCTTCCATACCCCGACACCATGTCATACACTAACCACCTCTCCGCTTTATCCAACCAGTCCCAGAATCGGCAAATAATGCACGACGTGGAATTCTCTGGAACCACATTCGTAGAACATGTCCAAGCCACCGAAGTCGGTGTTTCAAGATGTTGACACCAATTGGATTATCGTCTCTGTGCCAGAACACACGATGCTGAACCTCTACATTACTGACATGGTGTTGCCACTGGATGTCAGCAATCCTTCGGAGACAGCGGTGATCAAACACAGAGAGTCTACTAACATCCTCAACTCGGAGAGGCCAGGTTTCACAAGCATAGAGCAGAACTGCTCTCACCAATGCATTGTAGATCCGACCTTTTACAGCCAGACTGACATCACGAAGGTGCCAAAGATGGCCCAGATTGGCATAAGCCAATCTGACTTTCACTATACGTACATTGACTCATCACTCACGCCACCATCAGCACTTATGCAGCTACCTAGATACACGAACTTCTCGACTACTTCTATCTGCTCACCATTCAGGGTGAGTACAGGATTAGAATCCTGCCAGTCTTGTAGAATTACTTGGCACTTCGAAGGTGCAAAGCACATACCGTACCTACGGACATTGATTGCCAACTGATTAAGTGCAGATCGCATGACTTGGGCATTATCACTGAAATAATATGAATCTTATTGAATAACCATTTCAATCCTCTGTCTTTAATTATAAGGATAGTAGATTGATTGGCCTGTATTATTTCATGAAGCTTGTTTACTAGTGAAGGTCCAGCTTCTCCTTGAAAGTGTTTACTGATGGAACTGACACTACTTGTTCGGTTAACGCATTCCAGTCATTGATCACTCGATGGGAAAAACGGAAGCTCACTCCAAGTTTATGAGGTTGCGGTTTTTTAACCTTCATGCTAAGGTCACCGAGATTATTAGTTCTAGAAGGAGCAAAAAGACAAAACATATTGACACCAAAATCGTTATTAAATATACGGAATGGCAATATGAGGTCACCTCTCATCGTACGATACAATAAGGGGAAAGGGTTCAGGTGTTTTAAGTGCTCACCATAAGAGAGCTTGGAAAAAACCCTTTACTGATTGTGAAGATTGACTAGCCGGAGAGTTTTCGATACAGTAATATATGAAGAGTGACAGCTGTTTTGTGAATTAGATTGGTTCTGTGTAAACGCAATTGCCAATTGCGAAATGGCAAACAGTATTCTCTGTACATGTAAATCCACGGGTTTCACATTTGTGAACCACATAACTGTACTCAATGAACAGTGTGCGCAGTCAAATGAACGACTCTGATGATGAGTGTTTTTCCTTAATGTAGATTCTGTAGTCAAGTGAATGAAATTGATAGGAATGTAATTTGTGTGGATTGCGATTCATTTTTTTGTATTTGTTTCGACGATTTATTAGTTTTTCAGGTTTGCTGTGAGGAATTTTGCAATGATAAGAAGTATTTGAATTATTATACAAACTAGAAATCCCCAAAATAACGCAATTTAGACCAAGCAGAACTAGGCAAGCACAAACTAACGTATCGTGTTTAGAATTCGAAATCAGGCATACAATAAATACAAAAACAATCATTAGTTCATACAACACCACAAATTTTCGGTTTGTAAATTTTATCGAAATGTCAGCTGTGTGGATGAAAACGAAACGGCCATCCAGTGCTTCCAGGTTTTCAATGGTGGTCTAACATCAATCGGTTCATTATCTCAATCAAAATATTTATCCGTTTTGTTCTCCGAAAATTGTTATTATGTATCGTAGATTTTCCTATTTTTGGTCCTGGCATCAGTCTATTTTTTAAGATATCCTAAATTATTCCAGATGAAATTACAAGTTTATCGCTTGGATACTTTCGTAACCATTCTAATCTTTTTTCATTTCATAGTAAAGTAAATTTGAATTAAGTTTTAGTTTATGTTAATCGTTAGGTTATAAAACTCTTTCTTTCAATACAACTTTGGAACCATTTGGGTACAAACAGAAGCAATGACGAAAATACAAAGCAAGGTATGCCTAATTAGGCACTTAATCACTGGCATTTGACAAAACAATTAAAGACAAAGTTGTGTACTTGATGTTAGGATGACTTGTGTCGAGTTGCTGAATATTAGCTACCTTGATAAATAACGAAAATTAAGAACTGGATTTATCGTTTTAGATTTACTCCATGTGTTGCTTTAAAACTCAGATGCTTTATTCATGTAGATAATATTAGCGGAGATGTTATTCGTAAGATTTTCGGTTTGAATAATAGATTGGTGTTGATGAGGTTCTTGCTATGAATCTTGAATACTGAGTGTGGTGATGTAATTAAAGTTACATGCCATCGCTTTTCAGTTGTTTTATTCAAATGTAACATCGGCTTTTGTATTTGTTTGCTTGTCATTTAAATTTATCATAAAATAACTTATTAAGTAGATTTTGCAGATCTTGCCGGGGGTTCAGAAATACACAGCCATAGTGAGGGCACTATTTTTAATTTTAATAAAGTCTGTTTATTTTCGATTACGAGGTACAAAAGATAGGTTCGAATGCATTTGATAAAAACATTGTTCAATGGTTTCATAAACTGTAAAGGAAACTGAAATTTACAGCCTCTCTGGAAATCCGCTACCGAATTTCTTCTCAGAGCTTGATCTCGAACTTATGACCATGGACACCAGCTCAAACTACATAAGAGATGCAGCCAAGGTATAAGAAACTCTCTACTTCATGCGTCGAAAACTTGTTTTATTTTATCAAAAAGACAGTCACGATATTCACGTTAATTTTTCTTTTATACTTAATATTTTGCTCAGAATTGTATGTACAAATTTTCACCTTTGTCCACACCTATACGATATTTCTCTTTACATAAATATGACAATTTCGCAGCATACACTCACCGCATACCTCTTTGGTGTTGTTTTCGAAAACAGGCATTTCTCTCCAAATTAATGTGCTATTTTATACAGGGGGGCCTTGTAGTGTCTAGTGTTATGTTATGCGTTATTCTAGCTTCCAGACAGAAAAGTTTAGTCATTATTCTTGGGTTATATCATGACCTTATCACTTATTAACATCGATTGTTTTTGTATGAGCGTGTATTTATTGCTTATCCTACCTAGCACATGTCTTTCGTCTATTTTTAATGGTTATAAATATTGAGTTATGCTTGATCAAATCGAGTTGGTTCACTCGTCTTCTCCGCTACACTTTGCTTCCCGTTTCTCACTACCGCCGAAACATAAGCGGGTTAGCCTAGGTAATGTACGGAATTAAATGGAAGATTTATGTTCATAGCACCTTTGTACGACTGGACTGGAGTCAGATACTGGGTTACAAGACATTTACCTACTTATATTCGAACGAAACGTTGGATTTACTTAAAATTCAATTTATGGGATTTTTCAAGTATTTTTTTTCTTCTATTTAGTTACATCGGTCTTCGGAAACGGTTAGTTTAAATTCGGGGTTGTATAACTCTGCACTATCCATATCTGTAAGTAAAATTAGGAATTATGTTGATTCAACAGATTCTCTTGTAATATCTAAATAATTTGAAACTGTCCGTCAATGAAGTGGTCCTGAATAAAATGAAGAAGTGATTATACATATGTTATTGTCATTGAAATTGTTTGAAATGGCTGCCACGTTATCAACATCATGTGGCCAAAGTTTGTGTAAATTGATTATGGTTGAGTTAGCACTACTCATAGATTAAAATAATTGATTTCATCCTACTTTAATTTCGAACTGCTCTTCGCTTTCACACCTTAGCTGCTAATTTAATTTGGTTTATTAACTATATTACTTGCAAATATTGAGTAACTCGTGTTATTTCACTCAACTTATTAATCTTGCAGTGCTATACCGCCCATGAAAACCTGGAATAATTAGACAGCCATTTCGCCCTAGTTTGTTGTTTTCTCAATATTCAATACTCGTATAACTATAACAGAAACCTACTCTGATTTGACTGCACATTGATGTTTTATATTCCTCAACAAGGGAGTTTTGTATTGTATTTTGTCATTAATAGCATTAACGTTTTATTGATAAGTTTTCTTAGATTAAGATTCTGTGTGATTTAACCATCTTTCAGTCATTTTAACAACTTTTATTTCATCTAAAGTGGGTAAAATACATGGATCAAAACGAATGAAGTTAGTCTCAGATAACGTAAATGAGTAAGAACAGTCAGAACAACTGATTACAACTTCACCTTCACTTTAGATGAGAGTAACCATGTAAATCTTACCTTTGATTATAATAACATTAACAACAATGACAACTCTCCTGTCATCAACCCTTGCTCGAATATACTAAACAGATTGGCAACAAAGATAAAATGCCCAGGCAACAAGAAAAAGGGTGTCTTAAATCATAATTAAAAGAACTTAACTGTCGTGTGGTAATGTTAATGAAGAATCAGGTTTGGGTTATTAAGTTACTAAATCAATGTGAAGGTGATGACTTACTTGAACTATAATCACTTTTCTGGCTAGCCGACAAATTACTTAACAAGCATACAACTCTTATGATTTTAATTTAAATAATAAGACACTCAATTCGCTAGTTGTGATGGCTGATTTGCTCAAAATTGAACTAGTTAACTTTGACAGATTACTTTTTAAATTTGGACCTGTATAAAGGGATTGATGGTGAATTCTACAAACAAAGTTAGCTAAGATACCTGGTGGTTTCTTTTAATACTTGCCAGCCGAATCAGCACTGTATTCAGAAAACATGAAGGGACTGCAGCTTACTATAAGACAAGATATATTCCAAAGTAAAGAATGATTCCGACTGGCACTATCCCATAAACTTACAAAGCATTCTAATCTAAGTAGGTATACATTGATAACTATATCCAGATGAGGACATTAAAGCCTCAATTCCATGATCTGTGAGAAATACTCGAAAAACAAGCGGCAGGATATATTTATAACTGTTGAATAACTATTGCCATTTGAAATTAAAATAATTTAAATGAAACGATACATTTCGATTTATAGACGTTACATTGTACACATTAACAGCTATAACGTGTTGATTTGTTTCTGTGATTTAAAAATTGCACAGCGATTGAATAAAATATGAACAAATATATTACTGACACCAGTACAGCATATAATATATAATAGGAGGGAAGCATCCATGGAGAGTATTCAATTTTCAGCTGCTGGCCAATAAATAACAGGACCTAATAAAAATTTTAAATAGAGAAAAACATGCTCTTGATGTCACAGTAAACTACGAGAGAAATAAAATACAATTCTACTAGTTGAGGTTATAGTTTATAAAGTTCACATGCGCATGTAAACAATAGGTAGTTTCTATTTCATTGTTTTTGGTTAATGAAATTATCATTTAGCTATTTCAATCGTCTGATTCTTCTTTAATAAACGACGAATTTTTCATTTTACTCACTCTTTATTAAATAATTATTTTTTTCAATGGTTGAGATCATGAGTCAGTCGAAGCTAGACCACCATGGAAGCAGTGACCAGTGGAGTTCAACCGGGTCAGTTGAAAGATAGTAACTCACTGATGACATTGATAGATGTGTCGCTCAAATTCATGGATTAGTTGAAGTTAAACATTGACACCATCGGATGCAGGCTCAGTGGTCTAGCAGACAAGTGTTCGCGCGCGAGACTGGCAGGTCCTAGGTGCGAATCTAGCGAGGTGGGATCGTGGCTGAGCACTGATGAGGAGTCCCACACCAGGACGAAACGGCCGTCCAGTGCTTCCAGGTTCTCCATGGTGGTCTAGCTTTAGTTGATTTATGATCCCAACTATTACAGTAATTATCAGTTGTTCTACTATAATCGCACTTTCAGTTTTTTCTTGTGTTTAACTTACCGGTAAAACTGACAAGATAAAAAATGTTCCCATTACATGAAGTGCTACCTAAATAGAAAAAAAATAATCCCAGTGAAAAATGACGAAATGTATCAATGATATCCTGTTTTTAACTAGATATGCAAAATTACTCCCTCAGTATCCACTGTTACATAAATATTAAAAATTTAAAACCTGAGAAATATTCTCATGAAGCATAATCTTCAGTCGAAATCTATTCAGTGGGGATTCTAGAAAATGTCTGTTTATCAAACTGCTACTTAAAATACACTAACCTTGGAGTCAACCTTGTTGGAAGCACGGACTAAGATTATATCTGATACGCTACTGCAAAAAAAAACAACTAAATAAACCATCATTTACATTCACTGATGCAATCCATCATGCAGAAACACCTCGAACAGTCAGATCTTTTTTCAACGAATATGTAGATATGATGTAACGCAACATTCTTATCGTGATTCGAATTACAAATAAAAGATGACAAAATAATTCAATACCTATATGCTAGTCAGCATTGGTTCAGCCATTTTATATCCTTTGTACAGACAGATTGACAGTTTTCAGGGAGAAATTAAACAGGATCTATGATACAATTTCAAACTAAACATGTGTTAACTGATTAACACTGTTCGTCAGCGTATGTAATCTATCGAATAATGGACTTCTTATGTGAACCAATTTAGAGTATTTCTTAAACTTCATTGAACATTTGAAGATATATTCTAAGAAAACAAATCATTCAGGATTGGTGGTACTGTGTTCGCTGAATTTCGCCAGTTAAAGCGAAGACCGTATTTGTGATAATATAGATAAACAAATAAAAACAGAGAAAAATCAGTTGGAATTATTCAGTAACTACTGTATCAATGTGGATAACAATTTCAATTATTCATTTTCATAATACTAGATATTTGGGTTATTGACAGGTGTAGATACAAACATCAAACACCATACGATATTACAAATTCACGTTTATCAATATCATTCAGTTAAAAATTATATTTTATGAAACGTACTTCTTTGTGGGTAAAATACAATACAACAGATATTGCAAGCCCTGCAATGATGAAACTGCTTAAAACAGTAATCAACAAAACAAAAGGAATTTTAACCTTGATGAACATCCCGAGTATTATCATTGAAAATGTAATAAATGCTGCGGCACTAAAGGATATCATTATATATCCAATTTTTATCCCTAGTATTGGTGGTATAAATGCGTAACATAATAACAGAGTCTATTATTCCAGCAAAAGAAAAAAAAACAATTTCACAAATGAGAAAATAGAAATTCATGAATAATACAATTCAAAAGAAAACTTATAGTATGTCAGTACTTGTAGCATAGGTTTTATTGAAAACTTACATAGTTCATTAAGGATTGGTTTTACTAAGTATGGAATAGATTTTAATCAGAAAAGGGTTTTTGTGGACATTGTAGTAATTTAATAGTTGAATTCATGAGTCCATTGAAACTAGACCACCATGGAAAACCTGGAAACACTGGATTTTATTGATAAATTGATTACTGAAATCACTTTTTAAAAAATAGTTACGATTTCTACGATAACAATCATATCAGGACTTTGAGAGTTGGCTAAATGAAATCTACCACTATCATTTGTAGCTTTTGGTAATGCATAAATTTTTTATGTAGTAAAAGCTATAAGATCACAGACATCATTCTTCATTGCGAAACATTTGATTGAGATTGGTTTTTTTATCCGTTTAGCTGCATTAAAAGTCCTTTGAATAGATCTACTTAACTTAAGTTTTAACATTTCACTCGGTGCGTCGCCTCTGAAACCAGAGCTTTGTATCCAAAAGAAGTATGTTCAGCCACTCCTTTTACCCTGGCCAACTAGCTAATAATCAATCTCATAATGTGGTGACGTAATCTGAATAATGTTCATTTTACGTCCCAAACTTATTATTATTACTGTTATTGTCTTTACACTTGATAACCCCTTTTTGAGGAATTTATTCAATATCCACCCCTGAATCTACTATATTTGACCTAATTATTTTACATATTACGTAATTTCCGATTTGTAATCACAATATTCTCTCTCTCTCTTACCCCATGTTGACCATATTTCTTCTGATCATTTATCTCACAATTCATTTCGCTTATAAACTGATTCAAGTTAACACTTCATATTAGTCAGCCTCAACATTAGCGACTTCATTTATATAACAAACAATTCCTGATTCATATATTACAATTTCCAAACGATGATGTATTTTGCCTTAAATCTGGCCAATTTTATGGATTATTAATCTGGAGTCATAACTGTAGAACCTGATGAGAAATTATTGAAAAGAATATTCTTCGTTCATACTAAATTATTAGTTGAACACTTTAATGAAAGTTATAATTTGTACAAAGTATAAGAATCTAAGTGAAAGCAACGTCCATAAACCAAATGAATTTGTTGGTTGTATTTACAACTGTTACTTTATTATTCAAAATAATTTAGTTATTCATTTTAATTCATATATATTGATTGTTTAGATTTTCCCACTAATGTTTACCGCTGCAATTGATCAGTCTCTTTTCGTATATGTGGATCCTGTGCGGATTGCCTAAATATATAACGTTTGAAGCGAAAGGTACGAGGTTCGAGTCTCGAAATGAATATCAATTAGGGGATGCAGGTACATCTAGCCAACAAGTCCCAAGGTGGATGAAACACACACTCCAGATTTCACTGACAACCACCATTCACCTCTGCTTGAATTTAATCACTACTTGGTAACACATGTCAATTAGGAGTCTTTAGAGACAGATTATTTCATATAAACTTTCAAACCAATTAGTTCATTCTAATATCATTTATCATTTGACAATAAATAGAATATGGGATATTTCAATGAACACAATGTACAATTTAAATACATTAAAACTTACATTTAAAAACAAGAAGACATAATTAATTGGGAAACGTGCACGCATATCACGAATAGTGACCATTAGAAGTGAGAAAATTACGGAACTTGGTCTGATTTCAACATCAAATGAAAACATATTTTAAAAAGTTATAATTTTATTCAGTATTTTCTAAGTCACTGGTATAACGAATGAAATATCTAATTGAATTATTTGGTGTTTTCAATAATTTTAGAGAATGAGTAACTTAAGCGGCCAGCATCAATAACCACATAATTGTACTCAATGAACAGTGTGCGCAATCATACGAACGACTCTGGTGATGAGTGTTTTTCCATAATGTAGATTCTGTAGTCAAGTGAATGAAATTGATAGGAATGTAATTCGTGTGGATTGTGATTCGTTTTTTTTGTATCGAAACTAGTTAATGTGATCAGATCAACGTCATATTACAGAAAATCTTTTCCAACTACAATGAAAGGTGAGTAGCTATAGCTTTCCACATATTGATAAATCCTATTATCCTCACTGGAAAAAAAGCCTCAGTATCTATCCGATTTAGTTCATTTACCCATTTATTTAATTCTATTGGCATCTTACATTATTATCTTATGTACAAAATCAACTCTGTCTTTTCATATTACAAAGGTCATATTTTTTACACTAATTAACATGCACAAAAATACACATAAACATGTTTCGTCTAAAATCACATTGACCAGAGTTTTAACTGGTCATACTAAGTATTTTTGTTTTGTTCCTTCGTACTATGTAATTTAGTATGCTTATTTATTAATTCGCTGAAGAAGTGGCCTACACTGAGTAAGTAAACACTTGAAAATTTAATTTTTCAACTCATTTGGATACTTGATAGTTCAATGCATCAGCCAATTCAAGCTAGACCACCATGGAAAACCTGGAATCCCTAGACGACCATTTCGTCCTAATGTGAGCCTTCTTGGCAGTGCACACCCACGACACCACTCTTAAGGTTCGAACCCAGGACCACCTATCAGTCTCATGCGCGAACGTTTAACCTCTACACTACTGAGCCGGTATCCATATGTGTTAGTGTCGAAGTTCAACTAACCCACGAAATTGAGTGACACATCCACCATTGACTTTAGTGAGTTACTATCTCACAACTGACCAGCTTAAACTTTACTGTTCACTGCTTCTTATTAGAACTCCAGAAAATACCCCATGGAGACCGTCACTAGTGAGCATATGGTTATTGTCAGAAGGGGCTTTTATGGAGATTTTAATAATTTTACAGTTATTACAAATACATTACTAATATAAACCTAGTTAATGTTACGTAAAAATGTAAATGGATTCTAATCTTTCATTTTATCAATAAGATATATTTATAGTAACATCCATATTTCGAATTATTACAAGTTAAGTGGATGAATAATATCATTATCATACTATGAATATTAAATAGTAAGTGATATGAAGTGGTTACATATTGATAAATCTTCCTACTGAACTCTAGAATCAATTTCCCAAGTTTTTCTAATAACTCCAGATTAAATCTACACGATAACTTGAACACGAGAGAAAAGACGTGAAATATGGAAAGAACGCTTTACTCCAAGGCTACTTCATGTACAGAAAATTCAGGGTACTTATCACATTTCAGACGGCCTTGAGCCTCTATACGGTTCTGGAACCTTACTAAAGATAGTAGCATGATGAGCAGTCGTTTAGTCAGAAATGTGACTCTTCACTTTTTAGATGTTTCTGAGAAACTTCTATTCAGTGCCGATCGGACAAAATATTTTTCAGTATTTTCAGGGCCCCTCTGTGCTTTTTCCGAGGAAAACTCTGGATCTCTCCAAAACCTCCCATTTTTCAAAACATAAAACTTCTCCTTCTTCCGGTGTACTTGCAGCTTGACAACTGGTTTGCGGTGGTGTTCCATTCTTTTTGTTGTCTTTCTTGTTCAAGTCTTCATTTTTCTATTATTTTCGGTATCTTCGGACATATGTGTCGTTGATGTTTATGTGTTTAACTCTAATGGTAGATTCACCTGGCTATCTCCGTTGTGCGTCATTCTTCTATCTTTGTAAATTTGGTTGGTGTGTCAGATACATGTCTTGAAGGCTCCTCGGACCCTTTACAAAACTCTTCTCAATCTGTGTACATTTGTTACTGGTTCCAATAGATTCTTTCCGAGGTATGACTTGACGAATACTTTATCGTCCACACTAAAAATTCGGATATTGGGGTCTTGTCTGTGCTTATCCACTAATTTAGGTGGCAACATAACGTTGAAAATAGTTCGAATACCTGTTCCAAATATGACTTAGTCAGGAGACTTCTCACCTAGAACAGTAGGGTTGGGAGTAGTCTTGTAAGTTGTTAAGAATTTTATGATTACCTGACTAGTTGTCCTCTCATCTTCTCCTTTCATTAATGCTATTTTAAAAGTGTCGACAACGATTTCTGCTTGTTCATTCGACCGCGGATGGTAGAGTGGAGAGCGTAGATGTGTTATTTCATATATACTACAGAAGTGCTTGAATGAGTCCAAAATGAATTGTGAGCATTTATCAGTCACCGAGTTCTCTGAAACTCTGAAACAACTGAACACAGTAGATAATTTGTTGATGGTTTCTGAGGCTGTACAGTTGGTTATACCATATACTTCTGGCCACTTCGTAAATACCTCAATTTGGACTGGACCAGTGGAATCCACATGAAGTCTCTTCCAGGGTTCAACAGGCTTAGGCAATTTCTGTGGTTCTCATTTCGAAGGATATCCAGCAGCTTGCAGACACGTTGAACAGTTGCGGCATTTGTTTTTGATATCTCAGTCCCTTGAGGACCGATAAGCGTAACTTCACTCCAGTGATTTCATTTTATTGATCCCAATGTAACTACTGTGGAACTGCTTGAGATCATTGTGGCGCAATAATTCTGGAATGACAATTCGATCACCGAACATAATACATGAGTCGATAGCCATCAGTGAGTCACGTCGACAAAAGTGCTGCAAAATTTCTCCTTCACAGCGATGGTTTGGTCATTTAGCAGAAAGATAACTCCTAACTTCTCTTAATGTCTTGTCAGTTTCGGTGGTTTCCTTGATAGCCTCGAAGGTGGCTGGTAGTCTATCGATTGAGTCATCCAATACACGATGAACTTCCTTTTCAGCTTTTGTATTTGCTACGAGGATGTCTTCTGAAGTTTTTGTCTGAAAACCTATTAGTCTCGATAAGGCATCAGCTTGCCTAAAAGCTGTAGTAGACTGGTGTTTAATCATGAAATCGTAGCTCAGAAGTGTTGTTGTCCATCATTGTAGTTTGTTTGCTGTATACCCTGAAGTCGCTTTCTTCGACCCAAATATGTCCAACAATGTTTTATAGTCTGTTTATAGGGTGAATCGCCGACCAAATATCATCATGTGGAACATTTTTACGGCAAAGATAATCAATAGGGTTTTTTTCAATTTGACTACAGTTTTGTCCTATCGTTATTAATGATCTGGCTGCATTAAAGATCGCCTTTCAGACCCATTGGGAAAAATATGAGAGGTGACTGCCACGATACCATAATTTGAAGCATATGAAGCAACCACCATAGGCAGAGATTGACCAAAGTGCTTAAGTAAGAAATTGGAGGCTAGCAGATGCTTGATTTTCTCGAAATCTGTTTGACAATTTGTCGACCGATCCCATTTCGCATTCTTTTCAGGTAGGTGGTTTAGTGGAGCACGCAGACGATAGAGATCAGAACGGAAAATTCCATAATCACTGGCCAATTTTAAGAAAGATCGTAGGATAGGGATGTCCTTAGGTCTAGGCATAGTTTTTACAGCTTTAACGTTCTCTAGATCTGGTTGTATTCCATCTTTATCTATTATAAAACCGAGGTACCGTACCTGTTGCATATAAAAGTCACACTTTTCTGCATGGAGGCAAAAACCATATTCAGCTATGCATGCTAGCACCTGGTCAAGTTGCTTTTGCAAGTTTATTTTGTCTGCTTCCATGTGTGTGGTATCGTCCAAATAAGTCACCGCTCCTAGAATACTATGTAACATAGTATCCATAATTTTCTGAAATATAGAGAGTGCCGTCTTCACTCCAAAGGAAAGTCAGTCATATCGGGACAAACCCTTGTGTGTGTTGATCGTGAGGAGATCTTTACTTTCATCAGTTACAGGGGTTTGTAAATAGGCGTCTGATAAACCGAATTTTGCAAAATACTTGTCACTGTTTAGCTTGACAAAAAAGATCTTTAGGTCAAGGTAAAAGATATTAGTGAAACTCTAGAGTTTCATTTAGTCCATTAAAGTAATCTGCACATAAGCGAACGTTGTCATTGAATTTCTCGACCACCACTTTCAGTGCAGCCGAATCTGAGAAGTTCACGGGTTCAGTAACACCCATTTCCTAAAAACCATTCTAGATCTTGTTCAACCACTTAAAGAGTTGCATCAAGTACAGATCTTTTAGGTTGATGAACGGGAATAGCTCCAAATAGAAATTTCAACAGTCATTATACTATGCAGTTTTACAAAACCTCTTGTGAGAGCACAACTGTTTATGTGACTTAATCACCATAATATATTGATAGTGCATTAAACTGATTAATGACACCTATATATTGCTATGATTTCCCTACATTATATTACATAACTACAAGTCACATAATTGATTGTTTATTTGAAATACTAAAACAATTTTGTGGATTAGTTGATGTTAAACATTAGCATGATTGGATACCGATTAGCTCAGTAGTCTAGAGGTTAAGCGTTTGCACACGAGACTGAAAACCCTGAGATCAAATCCCATGAGCGGGAATAAAAACGGCCGTCTAATACTTTCAGGTTTTCAATAATGATCTAATATCAATCGATTCATGATCTCAACCAAATACTAAAAACAAAAAAGATTTTAGATAATATTAAATTTAATTTCTATCACTTACATTAAACCTAATAGATACCATTTATATTGACCAATGTTCTTACATTTATCACAACTAAAATATAATTCATGATTCAATTAGTTACAAGATTAAAACTTACAATTTACACATGAGTATTGTAGTAATAATCATTTCAATTAAAGGGAAACAAATAATGATAAAGAACTATGTATTTTATTGAAATCCATTAAATCGTTATGTTTACTTTTTTCAAATCTACAGTAGATGAGATTTTCCATTTGTTGACATGTTTATTATTTTGTTTAAATAACATTCTATTTGTAATGATCTATCTACAATTATCTACAATTTAATAATCAAAATTAGAATAGTAAACATTAAACATTCATTTATAGGTAATATTATTGATTCTATAGAGAAAGTATTTATAAACAACCCAGTAGGTCCTGGGTTCGAATCCCGCTGGGTGCGGGATCGTGGACGCGCACTGCTGAGGTGTCACATACTAGGACGAAACGACCGTCCAGTGTTTCCAGGTTTTCCATGGTGGTCTAGCTTCAACTGACTCATGATTTCAATCTGTGAAATTTCTAAAATCTCCACAAATCCCTTCTGATAATCATGAAAGATATCAACAGTTTCAAGTATCTTACCACTGATTATTCACTTCTAAATGTTTGTATGAAGTCATCAGATGATACATAACAATGTAATATACTTTACAATTGATCGACCACTAAGTGGTGATCAATGTCATGTGTGTCAAGTCCTTCTTAGTGCAGATCGAATGCTATCGACCAAGTTGCAATGTGACCACTAGTCTAGATGACTCGACGTTGAGTGCACCATGTTGAGATTAGATGGTGGTTGGAGGTAGTCGACAGGAAACTCTGGACCCGGTTTTCCTACTATTTGGCACTCGTCAGCAAGGTGTACCTGTAATTTTGAGAGAACTGGTGCTCCCTGGAGGATTCGATCTCGTGTCACCCAGCTTCACAGTCTGAGACGTCACCAC